AACAGATTTATTATAGTCTCATTTAGAGAAATTAAAAAAAAATGTATAATAGGAAAGAAATAATAAGAATAAAAAAAAAAGAGAAAGACAAAAAAATGTATAATAGAAAAAAAAAAAAAACATAAAAATGTAACACAGGGTAAATAAGAAAAAGACAGAAAAGAGAAAAAAGGGAAAAAGTTAAGAAAAAGATAAGGGGAAATTTCATATTAGTATCTTGTGTTATAGCGTAATTGTCTGTTAGTACATTGTATTTTTAGTAATTTGAAATTAGTACCTTGACGTTTTAGAAAATTATTTTTTAATATCCCGAGGTAATTTTTTAGGATGTAAAATATCAAATTTCCACTTCTCATTACTTTACCAAAAAGTAATAAATGTTGAAAAAATTTAGAAAAAAGTTATTTTTAATTTAAAGCATTATTTTTATTTTTAATTTTTAAATGTTTAAAAAACTTTTCAAAATTTTTCAAAATTTATTATTAATTTTTTGGTTAATTAATTAGAATGTTTTAAAAACTGACCTTAAAATATTAAAAAATAATTTTATAAAACCTCAACATACCAATTTAAAATTGTTAAAAATATAAGATACTAAAGACAATAATGCTAAGAAGTCAATATGAAATTTTCCTTAAATAAAAAGTACAAAAAAAAACAGTAATTTTTTTTTAAAGGTTTTGTCTCACGGCGGTGTGCGCGAAACGCCGTGGCATGAAATGATGAAACCCATTCTTTCTTTTGTAGGAAGGTGTGGATATATTTACGTAGGGTGTGACATCATTCTTCTTTTTTCCCTAGGTAAATTGACTTACACTTCGTTTTCACCAAGTAGTACTGTGTTTCATATCGGACCACTTTACTCTCTCTCTCTCTCTCTCTCTCTGTGCACATATACAGCTATCGGACGGGGCCTCATCAGCTACTTCTTTTGTAGGTAAAGAGTTGGTGCAAACTGAACTGTGTTATTTACTCCAAAAAAGTGATGCATAAAAGAAAAAAGAGAAACAGTAATAGGTTTATTCACATGTGACAAAATCTTCTACTCCCTTTGAAGGCAGTGAGTTTTGACCGCGTTTGGAGCTACTCATTAACTCATTATCTCTATTATTGGAGGAATAGTTACTATTGCCTATGCCAGCCGTCAGCTTCCCTTTTGGGCTCGGAAAATGCATTTATTAAACCATTAAAAAATCATGTCTTGTATCACTCAAAAAGACATCGGGAAATTAATCACTGAAACCAGCAAAGACGATAATATATGTACCGATGTATTTATGCATGTATGTATGTCATGTGGAATTAATTAGCACCTACAGCTCAAAGGGCCATTGTAAATTAATGTTGTACATATAGATATAGTATATCTATATATATTTTCTATATACTGATGTAATGTCGTGGCGCTCGTCAGCCTAAACGGCGTTGATTTCGGTGATTCCTTCCTTTCGCTTTTGTCGTTTCACTGATATATATATATATATATATATATATATACTCAAAGCAAGAGGAAGATAATGAGAAGAAGGTGAGATGATGTTCAAATCTCAAAGCAATACATGCTCTTCTGGCTGTATTCAAATCTCACGAATCACCATGAGGAAACTAATATTCTTCTGATTAGTATTACGTGCCTTTCCTTAAATATTATTTATATCCATATAAATTAATGTGATACCCACGTACTTTTTATCTCTCTGTATTAATAAATATATAAAGTTATTTTTTTCTTCTAAAAAGTATGGTCATTAAATATCACTGCTATCAAACGGACTTAACTAGTGCTGTTTGGTTCACCTAAACCCTGATTATTTTTCTTTTCCCATTGATTACCATTAATTGGTTCCCTTTGGAGATCAAACGGCTGGGGTTCCTCTTGCTTTCAATTAGCGTGGCCTTCAATATATATGCGTACCCAAGCAACTCTCAACATACAAGTTAAATAAAATGTTTCCAGGTTTTGAGATGATGTATTTAAATAGATATGGGAATCATTTATTTGTGTTTTAAGCATATATAGAACATGAAAATGGTGGAACATAAGTAAGCCATTTAGAAGAACATGATATATATACACAAATTAAACTATTCGTTTCCTTCTAGTTCGGCCTACATTTAATTAATGAACCGGCTGGGGAATCAAATGGAATAATAAAAAAAAGAAGACTTTCTATTGTATTAATTTTTCTTTCTTTCCTTTTCTATCAGTACTCGAGAGGAAAACCAGCAACTAGAAATAAGGTATATATATATATATATTCTTAGGGGAAGGTAGAATTTGAAACAAATTAGGATTATATAAGAGTACTGTCTCAACGTGAGCACAAATGAGGTCCCTTTCATGAAACATATATATAAATATAAATAACCTTATATATATATATATATTTGTACGTATATATTTTTAAAGATGAAGTAGGAGGTGGTCTTATAAGACAAACACATGGAATATGGAATATAGCCAAAGCATTTGACAACATTACAAGTGAGCCATAGAGAGACATGTTGACCGCATATTGCCCCTCTGCAAGCTTAGGATTCAATAATCCAACAAGAGGGAGAAGAATTTATTAGCCTCTAATAAACTAATAGTAGAAGAATACAAAACTTCTCATTTCCCGGAGAATCTAGAGCGCATCAGGCGCTGACCGGGGCTTCGAAATCTATTAACAAATGATTAAACATTTTCTAGTCATCTTGTTGTTTATATAAATGTTAATCAGAATTATTATTATAAACAAAAAAAGGGACAAATAAACAATTAATTAGGGGAAGCCATGGGGGTTTGAGCTTAGTTTTTAATTCTGCAGAGAGAATAAAACAAACAAATTAAGGATGTAATTAAAAATGCGAGGCAACTATTATAAGCCTAGACAAGGTCACGTCCAAATGTCACGTGACCGGAACCCATGTTGACGCCGAGGAATATGGTCATTCTTCGTGGATTTCCACGCGCGGATGGGGCTCGACAGGTGGGTTCAGCCTTGGAATATTTGGACACGGGGAGGGAATATTGGGGACGACCGGAAACTCCACATTATAGACAAATGCTAGCCGTTGAAATTTTACCCCCTCACCCACTTCCTTCCAACCACGCGCTCTTTCTCTTCCCACGCGCCCTTTCTTTTCTCACGCGCGGTTTTCATTTTAGCCTATATTGTTACTTTTATTACATTATAATTCCTTAACTCAAGAAGACCGAACAGTACTATTAATTATAATGCTAATTGAAAAAGGAGAGTAATATCATTTCGTTTATAGTAAAAATTAACTTAGCTCAATTTCACTTTCAGTAAACCACAAGCTTAACGTGGTACGGTTCATTTACTAAAATAGACTTAGAGTGGAACCTTAGCTCAAGACCCAAAAACCAGGTATAACAAGTATATATTTAGAAACAAGAGTCGGGACACTTTTTTTTTTTTTTTTACTTTTTTTTTTTAAAGCACATGTCATAGGCGTATGTGTACGCATAAATACAAAATAAAGATTTTAAGTGAGATGGAACCCACAACCTTCACCTAATGCCCTAGATCAAAGCGTCTTAGACAAAAAAAAAAAAAAAAAAAAAAAAAAAAAAAAAAAAAAAAACAAAATAAGTTTAATTTTTGTGAAAACAGAAACGAATAACTATGAATATTAACCGGGTCATCACCAATAGATTTAGTACAATACTTGTTTTTACGAAACACAAATAGTGATACATATGTCATTTTACAGTACTACTGAAGCACATGCGCTTTGGTGCTTATTGGCATATAGCTAGCTAACTAAAAGTTTTGTGAATGCCATATATAGTAGGAGTGGTGGGTTGACTAGAGAGTGGAAAAGCGCGTAAGGAAAAGGAGGGAGGCAGAGATGCATGTGGGACGACGACCCTGGTGTCGCCGGACAACCCAGCCACACTGACACTTCCTCCACATATAGTTCATATATTCTCTTTCTAGTCTTATTTCTCACGAGACCATTTTTTTTTTTTTTTTTGGGATCATACCAGAAATTTTTGATTCGGCTTCGCACGTGTACAGCTCGATTGTAATTGGAAATGTGTTTAATCCGGATCAAATAACTTAAACCAAGTTTTCGTCGTGTGATCAAATAAGATGAGAGAGTACTATACGATTTGACTAGAGTTGGCAATTTACACTTCTCTATGCAAAGGCTCTTTTTTTTTTTTTTTTTTTTTTTTTTTTTTTTTTTTTGGGCTTTGTGAGAGCGCCCTTTAAGAGCATAGGATGTTCTCGAAACCAAAAAAAAAAAAAAGATATATTACCCTACGTTGAGACATGTGATGTCAAAGTTTTTAAATAATTACCTTGTTTGGCGTAGTTATAGGTACTAGGGTTATTTGGTTGAAGTATTGATTAGCTTTTTATAATTCAACAGATCAAGTCTTTGCAAGTCATAAAATAGCCGGAGAATTAATCTAAATCTATGTTGGTTGTGCTGAAAAGTTTAGAGGGAATGAAAAGAACAGGAAACAATTTTTTATTCAAGGTTTTCAATGCAAAGAAATTAATATCCTTCAGGAGGTTTTGTTCTAGTGATTATCTTAGACTTAAACTCTATTTTTTTTTTCTTCGTTTGAAGAAGCATGATATTCAATTTAAGATATATATAATTGAGTTTGAAAAAATGTTGCTGAAAGGAGAAAAATAATATACAATATTGTTTTTTTCGTAATGGAAACTGATGTGTGCCACGTCTGCGAAAAAGAGACCAATAAGGGTAGGTTTTAACAGGGATATTTTGGCCTGCCACTCAATCCTCGTTCATGAAATAAAATGGGAATATTCTAATTCAGAGAATTAAAGCGTAAATGTTAATCAGAATAAAATCTTATTGGAAACAAAAAGACTAGAGAATTTAAATAGGTCGCAATCCATCAACCTTAGAGAGAGAGAGAGAGAGAGAGAGAGAGAGAGAGAGAGAGAGACTCAATCCCCATTCCAATATTCCATTGAACAGTGCCACATTTGTTTTCTCGAATTCCAACCATTCCCATTCAGAAACCTCCATTATACCCCTAACTCACCTCCCTTTCACTCTCTCTTCTCTAGTCTCTACCGTATAGATAAGGGAAAACGGTATTACTATTCTCTCTCTCTCTATTTCTCATCTCTTTTCCTCTGTGTGTGTGCGTGGAAAGGTCTCTCTGATCCCTCTCTGAGCCACTCTTAAATACTACTTCCTCTTTTCGCACACTTGTCGTTCAGACCTTCGTCCCAAAAGTAAAAGGAAGAAATCTGTTACTTTCTCCTTTTCCGGCAATTCTCTGACTAGTGGTTTCTGCTGCATCTATCTATCTATCTATCTAATACATATATATATCTTCTTCATTTTTATAATTTTTAGTTTTTTCCCATCAACCCCAAGGGGGATCCTACTTAAAAAAGCCTATTCCCTGATCTTCCTCAACACCAATGCAAATCATAAGCCACTCATGATATAATCACAGCTTGAAAAATTAAAAAAAAAAAAAGAACTATATTAATTCTCTCTTTCTCCTTGTCTCCTCCAACCTAGCTACTTATTAAAAAAAAAAATATTCCATTTATACCCCTGATCATCATCAGTTTCTTCTTTATTTAGCTCTCCTCACCACCGTTATGTTCCCAACCCAAAACGCCATAATGAGAGCCACATCTTCTTTGCCTGACCTCTCCTTGCAGATCAGCCCACCATCACTAGTTCTGGAAAATGAAGCTAAGGAAGTGGTACTCTCATCAAGAAAACCAGCTCTACTTTTCAATGATAGAAGCTCAGCCACCGACTCAGGAAGCAGTACAAGCGATTTGAGCCATGAAAATGGTTTCTACCCATCAGAGAATAAGAGTATTTCTACTACTTTTGGCTCTTCTCATGTGCCCACCTTGAGTCTAGGGCTTGAGATGGTGAAGGATTTGATCAGCAGTACTGCTCATCCACCAGTTCATCATCATCATCATCCACCTAGAAGCTTTAGCAATAGTACCGTTAGTCATTTCCAACACCAACCTCAAATCTTCCGCCGCGACTTTAAGCGAAACGCGAGATCGATTAGTGGGGTGAAGAGAAGCGTCAGAGCTCCGAGAATGAGATGGACCACAACCCTTCACGCCCATTTCGTTCACGCAGTTCAGCTTCTTGGCGGCCATGAAAGTAATTGTCATGAGACAATCCCTTTGATTTTTATTTTATTTTTTATCAGAGTTGTTTTTTCTGTTGTTTAATTGTGTATATAATTAGATAAATATGTTTAAAATGTCACAGGAGCAACGCCAAAATCTGTATTAGAGTTGATGAATGTCAAGGATCTAACCCTAGCTCACGTGAAGAGTCACTTACAGGTGGGGTTACTATGCTGATGATCAATCCTTATAGCTCTGAGAAAACTTCTTTTATTTTTTATTTTTTGTTGGAACTTATTGCTTTGAAACTTATGAACCTGTTAGAATAATGGTGTTCTTTGTAATTTTCCTTATCAGTAATTCCTTTCAACATTTTTTCTTCGTATTTTTATATTTGTAATATTGCTATTATTCGTTTGTGATGGTGGGTGGAGAACAGGGGGTAAGGACAAAAGGGCATCAAGCGGGGGTAATCTTAGAAATGCGGACTTTTATTTTTTATTTCATTTTTTCCAATTTTTGTTTTTTTACATTTCTTGTTTTCTGTTTGGGTATTCATGCAGATGTATAGAACAGTGAAGAGCACTGACAAAGCAGCAGGTAATTGGATTTTCCTTCCGAAGGACCCTCGTTTTTCCTTTTATCTCTTTCCATTATTCTGTTTGTTTCAAGAGTGGGACAGAAAAACTCTATCATATGGTACTGTATCCCAACTTAAACGTAAAAATGATTGAGATTGGACTGACTTAAGAACATGTGAATTATTTGTTATGAATAATATTTCAGGTCAAGGACAAACAGATATGGGTTTGAACCAAAGGCCAGGGATTAATCTTGATGATCATGTAGATGGAGTTCTTTCTTCAGAGAAATTTCACTTGCAGTCAAGAGTACTACCTCCAAATTCCCATGGGTTAGTGCATATTGATAGATATTTTTCTAATTTTTTTACTTGTAAAAATTATGCAATATATTGGATATTATAAACAAGTATTAAATTCTACAGACACATATGCACAAATTATTAATAGAGTATAAAATGTATGAGACCTTTTTTGTTCAAACTCCAACGTATGGTGTGGCTGTCTTTGTTAATGGTGAAGTTAGTAGAGAATTTATTATTGGTAGTCACAATAAAAAGATACATTGGATTTGATGAATAAAGCTTAGGTTCGTATGTAGAGTGTTTTTGTTAGAAAGACATTACGATCCTGTTTAATTTCTCTATCTAGTTCAACATCTGATCACATCCTTTATATTTTGAATATCTTGATCCAAAAATGAATGAGTCTTTAAAAGTCAAGGGAAATTTAGTACAAATTTCAATGCTGTTCAAATCTGACGGAGTATATTTAAGTTTGCTACAACTCACAAGGAATTAGTCTTTGACATATGACCATGCCCTGGCCGATCTAGTAATTAATAATATTTTGGTTTGTTGGCTGGATTTTGTTGACTTTATTATGCATGGCTACCAACAGTATGTACTGTCTAAAATTACTGTTTACTTTTTGGAGGGTTATCTTAAATTATATAATTTTGTAACTATTCTCAAAACTTTTCCAAAAAATCTATGTATAATTAACACCAGTGGCAGTAATGTAGGGATTCAGGTCACCTGTATAATATTTGCTACTTTAAATGATATTTAACTAATCATATTTTTTCATATCATTTAATAAATAAGCATAATCTCAATTAAATAGTATTTCAAAACTTTTAGATGATATGACATGATACGATTGATTAGATTGTTTGAATCCGTAATATTAAAAGTACGTAAAAGATATATATGCTAGTAATTTTGACAATATTATGTTGTTTGTAACGTAAACTCTTTCTTTTCCTCCTTTAATTATTATAATTTTGAGCAGAGGTCTATGGTCATCGCCATCCCTAGACACAGCAGAAAGGAGCAACTCAAGTCATGAAAACTGTTCAACATTTTCTCGGTTCCAAGAAAATGTGACCAAGGTATAATTAAATTACCAAAATCACCCTGCGTTCAAAAATTGAATTTTCATACAGTACTAATACATACATTAGAGCTTAACACATCATCGTTTTCTTATAGTCAATATAATGTTGCTTAATTCACTACTGTAAACTATTTATTTAGGGGGACAAACAAAACTCAGATATCCAAGTATCTGATAGCTTGAAGGAGAGGATGGATTCTACCTCGTTGTCATCTAATTCGAATACGTGCCTTAACCTAGAGTTCACTCTTGGAAGACCAAGCTGGCAAAAGGACCATGTTCATCATGACCCGTCCAATAATGAATTAAACCTTCTCAAGTGTTGAAACACCACAACGTAACAAAATAGCATTTTTCTCTCTCCTTTTGTCGGTTGGAAGTTGAGAAAATATCAGTACTACACGCATTAATTTGTACCAGTTTCCCCGAATTTTGTCTTTGTTTTGTCATGCATGAAAGAATGGGAAATGGTAATTGCTAATATACACACACACACACACACACACACACGCACGCACATATGTTTACATTCTAGTTTACTAAATTTTCTCAAAAACTTAGGAACTGGAAACAATATTAGTTTTATCTTCTCACTTTTTTCTTCATGTGTTGGCTGAACGGTGAACAGTCTTACAGAAAAATATAACTAAAAAGTCCAATACGTAAATATTTAATTAGAAGTCCAAAAATATTAAAGGCTCAACACGTGATTACTATTTTCAATTGTGCAATTACATGGTTTTAATTGGAACCCAGACCTCCACGACATGGACTCATCGGTAGCATAATTAAAAAGCATGCTTCTAATTATGACTAATATCTACAGTTTTATGAATGATTTTGCTGCTGACTCAGTGCTGAGGACCTTGCTGTATAAGCAGATCCCATTACATATTGATCAATATAGTGCTCGAATTTGATTATGGCAAGAACATGAATTAAGATTTAAGAAATTATTAATTGTGTAATTTTTTTCCCTTCCATTCGTTATTGATATTAGCAAATTATCATAATAAAAAAAAGGTAAAAATCCTCAAGTTAATGATCAATATGCACTGATCTAGAACTGTAGGTGATTTGAAGCTACGTACTGAATACTTTCTCGCTAAGCTCATAAGATATGTATCGGTTCATATGCCCTCTTCATTTGTTTTCTCATCAATTAGTGTCGTTGAAAAGAATTTGCTGCAGGGGTTCTCGTTAATATTACTTCACGACTATGATAGTGAAAGGGTACAATTTATCTGGTGAATTCTTATCCTCCACTATAATAATTTATTTAAAGTTTTAAGGCGTATAAAATCACATAATTTCTATATACTTTTATAAAATGTACTTAATTGCTGGTATGTTGTTTCTATCGTAGAGGAGAGGAAACGAAGTCCACATATTTGACTTCTAACAGGTACTAAAGGCCGTTCAATAATTTCAAACTGGAAACCAAAAGGAAATAAAGACAAGGCCGGCAAGAAAAAGAATCCTGACAGTTAATGACATTTGTACTCGTAATTTTTTTATTTTTTTGGTTTTTGAATTGACACTAGAATATTATCGTAAGTTTTCCTCGGACACAATTCAAACACAGTTACAAATTGCAATTTTATTCGATCTGAATAATATATAGGTGCACATATATAGTAAAATGAAAGAAAATAATAGTAATAAAGCACAAATGGGCTTCCATGATGGAAGGATCATATTGGGCAAAGGAAAATGAGGCCTTATGTGTTGTTCCGTTCAAAATGTTGGGCATACATTTGTCTTTAGTCTATCAAGCTACATCTACATGGATAGCCTCCCTAGAAATGAAATTATGAAATTAATGAAAAATATAACAAGTACTCAGATTACTTACATTAAGAAGAGTTTTTTTTTTTTTTTTTTGGTGGGATGAAAGAGGAGAGTCACTTGTCCAGAGAGACCTAAATTGAGATATTGTTGCAGTCCCTTGGCGGAGTTGGTAGTATTCATCATTGCCGGTTGTCTTTCAGTCCGAAAATGTATGCACGCAATTTGGTGACAGATTATAATTTCGTTGAATCTACAGAGCACCACCCTGACAAATCGTGAATTCAGGTTCTGCGTGTTCCGTGAAAATTTCATACTATTCATCATTGCATGTATTTTCTGGTCAAAACACTATTCACGCTCACGCTGGTCCAATTTCTCTCAGACATTGTATTCAATTTCCACCATTTTTATCTGATCCACTGCGCGTATTTGGCTATATCTTTCCTGGCGCATGTGTTAAAAAGAAAAAAAAAAGAATTTCTTGCTAATTTTATTAGCATTTCTCTTTATTAGTTTTTACTAATATAACTTAGAAATGTTGCGATCAGATTGCTTTTAATTAACTCGAATCTCATCAGTACTTGTTTCACAACGTTTTTTTTAAGTGATATTAAGCCGGATTTTATAAGTATTAGAATGAGAGCAAGTAATTAATACGAGTTGAGTTTTGTTGCTGTTATTTTATTTTTACTTTTATTTTTGTTTTTTGGTTTTGTGTTTTTAATTTTGGGAAATAGTAGGAAATAGGCCAATATGAAAAGCTTAAGAAAGTATATAGGTCAACTTTTAGTTATAGAAATTAATAGGCCATAACTTGTCAAGTTATGGTTCATAACCAGATAAATTATGGATAAACTTGTCAAGTTATGGTTCATAACCAGACAAGTTATGAATAAAAATCGGGAATAACTTGTCAAGTTATGGTTCATAACCAGACAAGTTATGGACGAAAACAGTAATTTGGCCTATTTATTAACTTATGTAAACTATTGGCCTATTAATTTTAATTCATCTCAAGTCTTAGCCTATTTTTCTCTTTCTTCCTTTAATTTTTGTGTTTTCCAATATCCATGCTTTGAGAAACTCATTCGGTGCCATTGTGAGACTTGAGTAAATCTGATCGGCTCGTCAGTGATTTTTCCGGGGCCATAATAGATAGTACCAGGACGGAGGCACAATGAAGAAATCTCGTTTTAAAGAGAAACGGCCGCAAATGCTACATGTCCTTTGATTCTCTTTTTTTAAGCAAAGTTAAGTGATAATTACAAAAACACTTCTACATTTCTAAAAATAACTAAATTGCCACTGAAGATGCCAGTTGACAAGAATAAACAAAATGGGTTTTTGGCACAATTATCATCCCGAACTTATCATGGTTTAATAAATTACTCTTAAATTTTTAATTTTGGTAGGTTGTTTTCCGAACTTATAAATTTATTATAATATGTCCCATTTAATTAAATTTACTCAAATATTTTATTAAATTTAAAGGATTAAAAGTTGAAATGTTGAAAGATTTATGTTACATTTAAATTAGAATGTTAAAATTTTTAGCTGAACGTGCTTTTTTGACACTAATTTAACATAATCGTCGTCAAAATGTTGCAATAATTTTACAAGTTGAGGGGGTAACTTATCAAAATTAAAAATTTGCGGGGCAATTTACTAAACCACGACAAGTTTAAGAGGCCAATGTGCTAAAAACCAAAAAAAAAAAAAAACAATGTTTTGACAAAAAAATAAAATTGCGCCCAAGAATGTGTAGTTTGAAGATGTTAAAATTTCATTTATGCAAATTTCGTGGCTGAAATTGTTTGTTTGTTCTATTATTTTAGGTGCACTTTAGATTTAATTTTTTATTAGAAAAAATTATAACAAACCAGGGGTAGTTGGGGTGTCATTCGATTAAATACGACACGCCGTTTTACATAATGAATATTTGAATTCCAACCAAAAAAAAAAAAAGAATTCTTATTATATGCCAAGCCCTCCATTCAAAACAACGTGAATAATGTACCACATCAAATTTGATGATGTGTACCCTCATTTAATAAATGTGTGCTTTATCATGTCAATTCTTTTTAATATTTTTCTCTCTCCTAATATAGTCCTTTAATTTTTTCAATAACACTTGTCATAAATATACTCCATCTAGATTTTTTTATATTTATTTTTCAACTCTCGAGACGAGACATTTCTTTTAACTTTTAGAAAATATTTTCTCTACACTTTATCAATTTAGAAAACTTGGAGTGTGAAAAAACAAAAAAAAGGAAGCGTTAACAAGTAAATTGCATCCCTCCTGCCCATATCAACAAACTTGCTACTAGTAAGTTATATTCATAGAATCATATAGACAAGCAGGACGAGTAGTCTTGTCTTTATTTTATTTTTTTTGGCTCAAACAAAAAGGCGACAATTTGTATCCTCTTATATGAAAGAACGTGGCTGAGTGAGAAATATGAATGTTAAGCTAGCTATAGGATTGTATAGCCAATAAAAACAAAAAAGGCTAGCTATAAGATGAATTTCAATCGGTTTAACTAGGAAAAAACAAATACTAGTGGTACTCGTAGTACAATCTCAACCCAGTGATACACAAATTCATTCATATCGTTTCTTGCTTTCTTTCCTTTTTTTTTTTTTTTTTTCCGAGTATCCTAAATTGATTTAAGTGTAAAATGACAATATTCTTGAAAGTTAAATTAATTGAGATAAAAAAAATACAGGTGAAATATTTATGATAAGTGTTAGTAAGTAATTAATGGAATATACATTAAGAAAGAAAAAGTTTATTAATTTAAATAAACATGAAAAAGGACACAAATACCAGTCATTAATTAGATGGGTGTACCACATTATTAAAATGACGTGGTATATTTGGTGTACTGAATAATTAATTAGGGTAAAATTAACGGAGAGAATTATTTTAATACATTAATATTAATACATTATGGAACTGTGTCCTAAATGCGCTATATTCGATCGGGAAATTAAAAAAAAAAAAAAAAAAAAAAAAAAAAAAAAAGAAGGAGCTTGGACCGTCTGACCATGTATACAGTTATCTCGCCACCAACCATCATAAGAAAATAAGACATGATTCTTGCCTTAGACTAATTCAGTATGGCTCATGCTTCCAGTGGCGTCATTTGTTGTTGAGGTTGACTTATAAATAAAGGGCTCTTCCTTATAGTAATTCCAACTCTTAAACATTCTACTTGTTTTTTTTGGTTTTCTCTCTTTGTTAATTAAGACCATAAACATTCTCCTAGTTGACTTCATGGATATTCCTTCCCTCCAGGTTCTAATAACCCTTGCTCTTTTTGCTTCCTCAGTCATTCTCTACTATGCACTGCTCAGAAAAAAGAGCAAGCCGACTCGTATTACCCCTGGAGTTCAAGCTCCTGAGCCGGAGGGTGCATGGCCAATTATAGGCCACCTCCACCTCCTCGGCGGCGGTGATCAGCTCCTCTACCGGACCCTCGGCGCTATGGCCGACAACTACGGCCCCGCGTTCAACATCCGACTCGGAAGCCGCCGCGCATTCGTCGTGAACAGCTGGGATGTGGCCAAGGACTGCTTCACTGCCAACGACAAGGCGCTGGCTTCCCGCCCCACCACCGTCGCCGCCAAGCACATGGGTTACAACTACGCCGTCTTCGGCTTCGCGCCCTACAGCCCTTTCTGGCGCGAGATGCGGAAGATCGCCACCCTCGAGCTCCTCTCCAACCGGCGCCTCGAGATGCTCAAGCACGTCAGGATCTCCGAGATCGACACCGGGATCCAGGACCTGTACGACAGGGTCCAAAACGGCGCGCATCCCGTCGTCGTTGAGCTGAGCCGGTGGTTGGACGAGCTGACGCTCAACATGGTGGTGAGGATGGTGGCAGGAAAGCGGTATTTCGGGGCGTTGGCCGAGTGCAACGGGGACGAGGCGCAGCGATGCCAGAAGGCGATCTGTGAGTTTTTTCATTTGATAGGGATATTTGTGGTGTCGGACGCGCTTCCGTTTCTGTGGTGGCTGGATTTGCATGGCCATGAGAGGGCGATGAAGAGGACGGCCAAGGAGTTGGATGCTATTCTTGGAGGGTGGCTGGAGGAGCATCGTCGGAGGAGGGCTTCTAAAATGGCTGATTCAGATCAGGACTTCATTGACGTTATGTTGTCGCTTCAGGAAGGAGGAGAGCTTTCCAATTTTCAGTATGATGCGGATATTAGCATCAAGTCTACATGTCTGGTATGTTGGATAAATTAACATATGTAGCTGACAATTTGAATTTGTAGCTTAACTACCATTAAAAGCCGCAACTAGTGGGATATATAT